GCATACCCTTAAACCAGTCTCAACTCCATGAAACGGCATGTCAGGAGTTTCCCTTTCTTTTGTGCAAGCAAAATACTAGCACGGTCCTCCTGAATATTCATCTTCCTCTTCATCAGCAGCTGTGATGATGATGCCATTAGGCTTGGCCTGTGGTGTTGGCAGGTGATTTCTTCATGATTCTCTCTCCTGGAACCACCACACTCAGGCCCAGCTTCACATAATCATTGTCCATGTACTTGAAAAGTGGCAAGTTGCAAACCTCTGACACTTGATCTTGATCTTCCTGGCCATATCTTTCGAGAAGCTGTTCAAGTGCAGCACAGTCTTGACTGCAATTGAACCCTGGTATGCTGTAGCTCTCCCAGACCCATCTTTCTGCAGCCACGTAGTCATTTCTGTGGAAATGAGCTAAGACTTGAGCAATTGTTTTCTTATAACAAGATGGATAATTCTCAATTTCCTTATAAATATTTTTTTCTTTACGAATAGAGTGCCACCTCATCAAACTTGCATCCTCATACCAGCTGTCTTGAGGTTTTTCCCAGTAATTCAACTGCCTGCCCTAAGCGTTTCTCATTCTCAACCACATTTGCTGTCTGTTGATATAACTGTACAGCCTTTTCTGGGTCTACATTGTCGGTCAGCTTTCCGGCTCACTCCAGTGCCATGGCCGCTGTGTCAGGGGTGCCGTTCTCTAGGTGCATCATACTGGCTTCCTCAACCAGCTGAACAGCCTCCGGTAGTTTCTGCATCTCCTTCAACATCATGCCCGTTTGCTCATAAGCTTGGACAGCATGAAAAAACGCCCTATTGTTTTCACAGGCAACGGCTTCCCTCAGGCAGCCATCTTTTACTTGTTCAAACTGTTTGGCATTTTTTAAAGCTTGTTGCTTCTGCTTTTCCATATTCAGAAGCGGCACTGTCATAATATGGCTTCCATTTTAAAAATCCAGTTTTCAGATATTTCTCTGCTTTGGCGATGTGCTCTAGCACCTCGTGTACCTTCTGAGCCACCAGCTCTACAGCCGGCCCCTGACGCGGGGCCGAGGAACGCGCC